CTCCCTTATCCTCACTTTCCAGCCATGACAGAATTTAAAAGGGTCTACGCGGCCTTGTGGGTGATTAATTATTTTCCCACGTTACAATTCATTTCCTACAGACCTATCCTACTCTTTCGCTATTTTCATGATTAATTTTATTTATATTGATTTTTATTATTTTAGAAGTACGTTTCCTTTTCATAATATCGATGCCGTGTATAATCGAATGCTGACATTTTACAGTCTTCTGCACTTAATTGTTATAGAAATAAACTTAAAAAGATTTATTTTAAATGTAGAGGAAATGGATTCGTACATTTTAAATTAAAGATGAAAAAAATGACTTGAATTAATAAAAGCATATATTCTTTTATTTTCCATTTAAGTTAAATATCGCCCAGTATTTCTGTAAGTGCTTCCGAAAAAGTCCTCCAAAAGGTTTCTTTTTATTTCAGATTTTTTTAAAAATTCAGAAAATCAAAAAAAATATATGTAGATAAGGTGAGCATAGTTTCAAACTCGCCATTTGTAAATAACAACTAAGTCAAAATAACTCTGTAAGAAATCAAGGATCGATATATATTATGAACAGGATCCTATTTTATAAATCAATAAAAAGAATCAATATTTTTCTATTCTGATAAACGTCGTGGCTTGGGAAATGCGAAATGAATGATAATTTACAAAAAAATATTCCCCCGAAAAATGGTTTCTCATATATATATATATATATATATATATATATATATATATATATATATATATATATATATATATAACCTGATAAAAACCTTCTCCTATGTGTTGTGTGCCTTGAGAATTGAGTCCTGACCACCTCTTTACCAATGGTAGAGAAAAATGACGTAATGCCCAGCCACCGGGTGAACGGTGGGTAAACACTTGTAACTATTTTTATATCTACCGTGAAACATTCCATACCAATTATTTGCGAATTTTGACTCAGGAGCTCAGGAAGAAGGTTTGAATTTATACGCATTAAAAAGCCAGTTCGAACGAGCTCTCCGGGGTTTACCCCGAGGTTTAAGAATGTTAGTAATCGAATCAACAGTGAACCTGCTTCGTTTGTATTGAAGTCTATTCATCGTGGGAAAAATGTTATTAAAGCAATTAAAACAGATATTAAAAAGCATTTCATAACAAAAAGGTAGTTAACAAAAATAAATATTGTCGTAAATTTATAATACCGAAATATACCAATGATTAAAAATATATCACTATAAAGTGCAGTGTACAAAAGTCGAGTTTTCAAGCCTAAAAACATCTTTCGAAGAGTAGGGGTCGACTTATATGACAAGTATAAAATGTAAGCATTTACCACCGAGTTGTATACAAGAGAGACAATACCACTAACAATTACTTTACACCACAATAACATACAATACGTAGCAGTACTATCAAAATATTACCTGATGTGATATGTAAACTAGTGTATTAATATTTTATAGGAGTTGATGTTGACTTTAATGTATTTATCAGTAGACGTCTCGAAATGAAAATGTTTGTACCGATATAATATACGGTACCAACCAGTGTGTGTTGTAGGTTGTTTGTTACAGAACACATAGAATTATAGTACGGTTAGTGTCTTAATATACAGGTAAGTTATTTATTTATGTAGTTTTGGCACAGGTTATCGTATACTGTAATCGAACTTCATTTATCCGTAGGCCTAAGGTTTGAGCCATTGGTAGCCTACCGTGTGTTTAGGCAACGACCTATACGCTTGATAGAGGCCTAACTCAGAATTTTGAGCTAAAAAATCTTGAAGCCGACTTATACGACGCAATTTACGGTAAGTCTCTGTGACTTATTACTCGTTGATATTTTAGAAAAGTAATGAATTGAATTATTGCAAGAAGACTATCCTGAGTTTTCATCAATATAAATAACATCTTCCAGGAAGATGTCTGTCCCAATTGTTTTTCAATATATCTGTTTAACCGCTTCTGGCCGAAAACCATAATATAAACTTGTTTACATCACTGATGCAAATGACGGGCAAGTGATACAATGTTTTACGTAGCAACACTATCAAAAAAACTAATTGGCATGATGAGTAATGTAGAGTATTAATATTTTGTAGGGGTTTAATGTGTTTATCAATAGACCTGACGAATGTTAACCAATCAGAAGGCTCAAAATATTCAATGCGACATGTATAAAGGCGGCCATGTTTTTCCCGAATATGCACTGCCAACCTTTGATAACCCGGACGAGGCTCCGCCGAAGGGCAGATTTTCGTTCTGGGAGGTTGACTGCCCCTGAACCCGTTTTTACGCATTCGAATAGGGAATTTTTTGATCGACCCTACGGGCTCGGAGATCCCACGTTAATCCCAGCCTTGTGCCACATGTAACCCTCGTGGGAGGGATAAATATCACTGTCAGCCTTTGATATCGAAGACTGAAGAATTACGGAACAGCTGCTGGTGGTATTGGCGATAGAGTCAGATTCAGTAGAGTGTCTCACTCGTGAGTGTTAATCTTTAACGTTGTTTCATTGAACAGATTACGTACTGCGCTGTATTCTATATTCATAGACTATGGGGAACATGGTCAACATAGTTGGTAAATACAGTCTCAGTGTACAAGTAAGTGTCGTGACATTAAGTAGTTTGGACACAGATTATCGTATATTGTAGCCTAACTTTATTTACCGGTTTTGGGACTATCCTGTGTGGGGGGTTGACCCTTAGGGTAGGTAAAGGCAAAACACCGAATTTTGAGCTAAAATCCTTAGGTAGACTTGTACGCTTAGTACTACAAAGTATAGGAAGTTATGGTGGGACATGACACATAGAAGAATAATTGTCCGACTAACTTATTTACAATCAATCGACACCGAGGTATTCTTTTACTCCTATATATAATACCACTGCTTGGCTAGTTTCAGATGAGTTTAAAAAAAAAAAACAAAGAAAAAAGAAAACTGATCTGGTAACAGGAGATCCCTCTAGGCAGCACCTCCCAATTGTGCTAATGTCAAAGCTATAGTTAGTGACTCAGACCAAGAGATCTAGAAAAAAATCTGACCAAGAGATTCTGAAATACTGAGTTGTGTACTAGTGTACTTTCATTTAAACTATAAAAAAAAAACAGTTGACATTTCTGGGGTAAGGCGAGAAGAGCGGAAACCACATGTCATTTGGTTATTTTGTGTCAATGAAGGGCAGAACATGGGTTGGGAGTGTAAAAAGAAAAAAGACAAACAATGCTTATTGCCCACGTCCTGAATGAATGCAACAAATAGAAGAAAAACAAAGGAAAACGTATATAATCGGCAATATTACTGGTCCTGATCTGGCGGCTCGGCTTCAGTCACTTTCCCACGAGTTTGAAAGTCAAATTTGTTGTATTTAACCTATTGTTCTGAAAATTGAGTTTTATATTCCTTTTTTGTGCTTATTAACATATAAAAAAACTGGGATCAGACGGGCATTAGATTCTGAGAAATGGATAACAATATTCAAAATTGATGGGTGTACGAATAATTTCGTCATCGATTGCGGATCTAAACAGACTGTGATAGATAGATAGATAGATAGATAGATAGATAGATAGATAGATAGATAGATAATGAACAGACTGTGATACATAGATCTGAACAGACTGTGATAGATAGATAGATAGATAGATAGATAGATAGTGAATAGAGCGTGATAGATAGATAGATAGATAGATAGATAGATAGATAGATAGATAGATCTGAACAGACTGTGATACATAGATCTGAACAGACTGTGATAGATAGATAGATAGATAGATAGATAGATAGATGAACAGACTGATAGATAGATAGATAGATAGATAGATAGATAGATAGATAGATAGATATGAACAGACTGATAGATAGATAGATAGATAGATAGATACATACATACATACATACATACATACATACATACATAGATATTTTTATACTGTAAGAGTAATTTTGACTTTTCCAATTTTGCATAATTCGCATGTCAAATTTGTTTTATTTAACCTCGTGTTCTGAAAATTGAGTTTTATATTCTTTGTTTTGTCTTTATTAAAATATGAAATACCTGGCATCAAATGGGCATTAGATTCTGAGAAACGGATATTGATATTCAAAATTGATGGCTATACGAATAATTTTATCATTGACTGTACATATTGCCATCGTATGTCACTACTGTTTCTGTTTAATACTGAAGGGAAGAAACTGCTCCGCTAATTATTATTGCAGGTTTATTTAAATAAAAAGGAAAAGATTACCCTTTCTGAGGCAAAACTGCTATTCCATGCGGCTTGTCTAATCCTAGATCGGTGACAATTTTGTATCTTGTCTGATTTGGTTTAAGTGGCACCATCATAATCCAGTTGTAAATTGCGTCCGTCCAATACAGGTTTCCTGAGATCCAATCCACAGCTAAACCATCCACTTGAGTCGATGTCCCATGATAAATGCTGTCCGTTTCTTTCTTCCCATTTAAAATCAACCCCTGGATTTTTCTGTAGCCAGACTCGCTCCAATAAAGGTAATTATTCGCGTAGGAAAATGCCAGTCCTCGGAAATGCCAGTTTGCTGAAGGTGAGTTAATCTGACGAAGTTTCATTTTCTGGGCACCAATCCACTCCTCAGGTTTGCCTTCGATACCCAAAATACGCGCTCGTCCATAACCAAACGGAAGATCCGACCATATTAAAGTGGATCCACTGAAAACTGAAAAGAAAAAGAAAGAAGATATATCAAAATTATTGATTCGTTTTTGAAGCTCATTAAAAACCAGAAAATATTTTTACATTGTAAGAAGTTTTTTTAGATAATACATTTCATAAAAAAAGACACTAAATTCCCAATTTAATCTTTGGCTTACTAATTAACACACAGCTGGGGGGGGGGAAGACGTGGCTTCATACCTTCTCCAATGGTATTTGAGCATAAGTGAATATAACGAACAAAAGTGGAATTGGAACTCGGTTCTCCGATTACCAATTCGAGCCAGAATCCTTTACACCATCGACACATCCAAGCTTACAGCACTTGGTATTCCAAAGTGGTACCCCTTCTAGGTAGTGACCATGCATGACGTTGCTTAACTTCGGTGATCGTACGGGAAACGGTGTTTCAACGTGATGTTGCCGTAAGCTCAAAATTGTTATGTATCAAAATTATTTTCGTTTTTTAGTGACATTTGCACCAAAGGGTTAATTTTTCATTGACATGCATAATGACTATTAATGACTAAATTATTGTCGGGAACAAAAGACGTAATGCCGGCGATTTTGAATATTGATGATAAAAAAATGATTAAATGATGAACTTTATCTATTATGTTTCATTATAGGCATTTTATAAGGAAGTTCAAGATGAGAAAAAGAGAAAAGAATTATAATTACCACCAACCCGTAAAGCTAAAAAAAAACGTAAAACAAAAGCTGATAGGTTTTCCTTTCCGTAATCAAGCTCTGAAGATTGAAAAATGAAAACCGGTCAACATTTTTCTTTCGTCTGCATTAATTATAATCAGAAATTTTCTTTTTTTGCGACTTGCTCTTTGATTAAGAATTCTCGATTTTAATGGCTTCAACTGAAAAAAATGTTTCTTTTTAATGGCTATAATGAAAAATGTCTGTTTTTAATGGCTATAATAGAATTGTGTACCCTAAGAAAATATTTAATACTAACAGTAGAGCCCGGCGTTGCCCTGGGATGTAACAGTAAGAGATAGATCAAGTATCGACAATCATAAAGACTGAAAAATAAAATTGACAAAGATTATTGTTTAAGGTTGACGGACATGCATGTCTTAATTAGTTTTTTTTTTTTTTACGAATTGGTCAAACCCAAACTCAAAAACATTGTTTTCAATCGTTATGAGTCTACCAATTGAATAGAATTTTATTATAAACAATTGTCTTGTAAATGGAATTTTTAAAGCATTCTGAATGTAAAAATAAAGAAAAAAAGGGTGCAAGACAATAAGAAACACTACCTGCCAAAAAAAGAGAAGTTTTGTTGAAATCGGTTGAAAAATGTAGGAAATCCGATCCCATATATAAACGAACACACACACACACAAACAACCTGGGTTTTATAATAAGTATAACTCGATATGTGGTTTCCCCCTTTCATTAATGCCTCGTGTTTTCAAATTGATTTCGTGCAAAAACAATTGTGTTTTTTCAATTTTTGGCGCTGTCAGAACCACCGCAAGGTAATTTTACGTAGTCCTGTGAAGTTTTGTTGAAATCGGTTGAAAAATGTAGGAAATCCGATTCAATATATAAACGAACAGACACACACACACACAACACAAAGTATGATTATATTATACTATTGTATCCGTACTACCAAAAATTGGCGCCATCGATTAAATAATTTTTCAGTTACATTTGTTATGTTTTCTACCATGTTATCTCGAGGCTCTTGACAAAATCCAAAGAAGGATCTGCAATGTAATCGATCCTGACTTTGTATCTCGACTTCAGTCAAATTCTCACAGACGGGATGTGGCTTGCCTCTGTCTTTTCTACTAATATTTTCACGGCAACTGTTCTGTTGAGCATTAAATGTAAGCCTGCTACTAGATTGGTATTTAGGTCCCACCCTTTTACCATTGAAATTGTTAAACGTACTTACGTTTTACTTCAACAGTTTCTTCACACTTCGCACTTCACACCTATGGAACTCCCTTCCGTTTACTTGATACCATGAAAACTACAATCTTCAAAAATTTAAATATAACGTCAATCGCCATCTTCTGATGTCTCGAATCCCGTTCATCTTTTATCATTCCCACTATACCTAGTTTTTTCTCACCTTCACTTTTTGTAACCCCCTGCGAACGAGTGGCACTCCCGCCTCAGCAGTTAACTCTATTGACGCATGTAAGAAAGGATTCTGTTTTTAAATTCATTCACGGTAAAAATATCCAAAGAATTTTAATATGAATCGTACTGTAAAACCAGACCAGATGTGGCAGAAATATTCAATGTATGGATGAATGGTAGACTTATAAATATGTAAGATAGATTCTTCTTTGAATTTTATCAAGAATTTCTAAATATATAGCAAAAGCACCAGATCAGATGTGACAGCAATATTCAATGCATGGATGAATGGTAGACTTATAAATATGCAAGATAGATTCTGCCGAGAAGAATTGTTCGGATAAATGAAGCATTACGCCGAATGTGTCATTGTTTGGTAAATAGAAAAGGTGTTTTTTTTTTCCAGTAGAATAATGCAAGGGCAGACTCTGCAAAACAAACCTGAGAAAAGATAAAATCTTTAGGCTTGGAATTTCCTTTACATCTTCCATATTCACTAGATTTAACGCCGACAGATTTGTTCCAATCATGTTTCATAAGGGGAAGAACATACAGAAAAATAGAAGAAGACAGGGATCGAACCTGCTCCCTCCTTGTTTAGGAGAAACCTGGCTACGGAGAGTGTCATAGTCCAGAAACGCTCTATTTTCACGTTTTAAACAAATCACACTTCCTCATTCAGTTCTTTTCCTCTAAAGCTCGTATCTATTCATTTTCCTATGCGAAACGTAAACAAAGCAATTCCTAAAGAATTAATGGATTTATTTTTAATATGGCATTTTTATTATCTCAAATACGAGTCGATACTATAATAACGTTTGAAGGAATAAAAATATGTCGGATTAAAAACAAATACATTAATTCTTTAGAAATATACTTTATACTAATTGTATTCGAGGTAATATTCGTTCATAATTTTGGTACAATAAACCATGAACTTTAAAAGAAAACGATATAAAATAATTTGTTTTTGTGTTTTTTTGTTTTTTTTTTTTTTTTAGTAGAATGATTTCATTATATGTATGAATAGATTGGTCTTCTTTTTTTTTTTTTTTTTTTTTTTTTAAATTCCTGAGCTTTTACATAGCACAACGTCTGAAACTCTTCATTTCCAGAGCTACTAGGAATTAGACCTAAAATTAAGTCTATCATACCTCCAGCAAATAATATATTTCATCTAGAATCAAAAGATTTCGAAGCATTCTCATCGATTGCGATTTATGTTCAGGTTTTCCGTGAGGATCGACTGGCTGACTCCGTAACTGATTCCATTCAGATGATAAAGGGCTTATGTTTGCTTCATAGATTGTCTCTCATTAACGAGTTTTTTTTTATTGATGTTTTTTTTTTTTTTTCACATTTTCTGATGTTTTGATAGTAGTTGCTCCTCATCTTGAACAGACACTCGACTAGTCTTGAAATGTGTGTGCCAGTGAAAAAACGTGTTTCAGGATAAAGAATATTCAACAAAAACCTGACGAAGCATTTTGTCGGTTCACAGTAATGAATTGGCCGAGCTTCATGTTCAATTTGATGGAGGCACATCGCTCGAATTTGTCGACGATCGTTAAGATTGCAGAGCCGTTCCACCACAACACTACAAAACCTTGAGTAGAAATTAAACACGAGCGGATAGTCTCAATAGTGTCTGAGTACCAATGAAAGCTGAGCAAACATTTCCGTCGAACAGTTTAATGACAGGAAGGACTGTACAGGAATTTTTATACAATCTCGTATCTATTTACATGATTCTCATTGTTCGAATAGTTGTCCGTATATTTCCTGTCATAGTCACAAAGTCTGTCCGTTTTATGCTTCGGTCTTCTTCAGGTTTCTTCTCTCAGCTGAGGTTACTAATTGAACTTGCGCCATGCTTTGGATATCTCAGTTTTGGCTTATTCAACTTGAAAACTCACCAAAGTTTGTTCTCAGCTGAGGCCTAGGACTGAAATCTCACTGTGCCTTTTGATATCTCAGTTTTAGCTAATTAATTTGGATAACTCTCCAAGTTTGTAATCTCTCCACTGAGGCCAGAGACTGAACTCAAACCATTTCTTTGGATATCACAGCTTTAGCTATACCGCTTTGATAGTTGTCAAAACATTGTTCTCACAGCTGAGGCCAATGAAAATGCACCCTTTTGAAGCAGTTTGCGACGGGTGATGAGAAATGGATAGTTTACAACAATGTTCAGCGAAAAAGATCCTGGAGTAAGCGACATCAGCCAACTTTAGCCACGACAAAAGCAGGTCTTTCATCCTAAGAAAGTCATTCTGTGCATCTGGTGGGAATGGAAAGCTAGCTTCTGCCAAGTAACCAGTCAATTGATTCTGAAAAGTACTACTCGCAACTTGACGAATTAAGGGCAGAAATTCAAGAAAAACGGCTAGAATTGGTGAACAGTGTTGTAGAGTACGAAAAGTTTTTCTTCCTCCGTATGAGTTCGAATCCCTCGTCGCCAAGTTGTTATAGAGTAGTTTTCACAGTGGAGGCTTGTATTTCACTGAGTTGGTCCTAAAATAGGTTCGACGTACAAAACGTTAGGAACTTGATATAATAGTTAATGACGCAGCAATCTAGTTGGGGTGGCTGATACTTTAATATCCGACTAACGGTCGTCCGACATCGACTGACTGACCAACTCCCTGATCGACTTAGCGACTGCTATTACTTCTACTTATTATAGGTGGGAGAGTCTATTAACAATAGAATAGGCGTGTTCCAGTATAACAAACAGGAAAGGTGTTGTTTCACATCAGGATAGTACCAGACCTCACGTTTCTTTGGCGACCCGACAAAAATTATTGCAGCTTGGCTGGGACGTGTTACCCCATCCGCTATATTCATCAGACATTGCTCCTACAAATTTTCATTTATTCAGGTCCTTACAAAATAATTTCAATGGTAAAAAAATTTAATTCTTTGGATGACATAAGAAAAAATATCTTTACCGAGAAACCACCAAAATTCTGGGAAGATGGAATCTTTAAGTTGAAGGAAAAATGGAGAAATGTTGTGCAACAAAATGGTTCATATTTAGTTGAATAAATATTCAATGACATAATTTTGTTTTGTGTTTTAATTCCCCTTAAAAATCGGCATAAACTTTCCATTACTTACGGCGAGGCATAGATATCAAGTTTTATATATATATATAAAGTGTAAAACGTTTCACTTTTTTTTTTTCGAGACTAACTAATAAATTTGTTCTCAATTCCTTTCAAAACCTTTCTTGGGCACTTCGACATGTAAGAATTAGCAAGCATGTCTCGTTAAATAAGTTACAACTGAATAATGATTTCGATCCTCACTG